GGAGATGGACAAAATTGTAGGGAATAACCACAGAAAAAAAGAAGAAGAAGAAAGTAAAAGCAATGAAAAAAATTGAACAAGAAGATAAAATGGAATAACTGAGAAAACGATGTTACTTAATGAAACTTAGATTTTAGAATAGAATAATTATTCCATTCAAATATATAAACCTAAATTCGGTCACTAGATGATAGATATTTTTTTCGAGCGGTTAGTTTGACACATGCACGCATGCCTAATCAACAAATTAAAATTTAAAACATTTTGTATATTATGTTTTCGATACAAAACATAAAGAAGATAAACCATGCATTCAAGGGATCAATGCAGATTCAAATACAGACAATTAACATTGCACGAAATCATTGACGAAGATATAAACTAAGAAGGAGAACAAAAAGAATTTTACCATTGAGAGCTGTTCATGCGACGAAATTACGTCCTGTGACATGTTTATCTGTTTTTATGGACCCCAACGTAATGCCAAGATTTTCTGGGAAAGATCAAGAGAGAAAATTTCCCAAGAAAGGCTTCTTGAATGCTTTGTAGAATGTGTGGGAGGAGTGATGTATCTGAACAGGAAGATCCGTAGAATTAATACAGGGGGGAAAAGGGTTAATAATTAATCAAACAGAACAAAAAAAAAAACAATTCTGTTTAAGACAGAGAAGAAAAGAAAATGTTCTTACAGCTTTCTGGAGAAACTAATTGGAGGTTATGCAAGTTAACGTAACCAAGTTATATATAGTTTTTGTTAAACGTGTATGTATATGTGTATGTATCTACATGTATGTAAAGTACTAGTGTGCGTTAATGTAATAAGTCCTTGAGAAATGCCACGTGGAAATTACGGTAAACACGCTGGTCCTAGAGTTTCTTGTAAGCGTGACATGGCGTGTTCTGAATGGCTAATATTGAGTTGACGTGGAGAAATTGGTCCCACCATAGTGGTGACTTGGTTGACCTGTAATGGAGTTTGACCCAATTCTTTTGTTTCCGATTATTTTGACCTATTGACTGAAACTTGCACTAAATTAAGCTTTTTTATTTATAGAATTGGCTTTTCTATTTTATTTTTAGTAATATATGTTTTCTATCTATTATTTTTTATTTTCTAATTTATTTACTTGGCTATTTTTTCATGTTGATAAGACGTGGAAAGAGGACCAGGTCAGTGAAATTAAATATATTGACAAATTACATAAATCAGAACGTACAAAGTCAAATATTTTACATTATGATGAAAGTAGTTACGTGATGCTTAGCTAAATTCGAAACCTAAAAATTTCATATGAAAATGGTTTCCTCTGGATAAAAATTCTGTGATGGTGATATTTTTAGCATACCGTGCTCCGAGTTGTCATTTTCTTATATTGTTGTTTTTCTCACAACCATAACCAAAGACTGATAATAAAGAACTTGTGAAAAGATAAGTATGTAGATCAGAATATTGATCGAGGTAACGTAAGGACAGGCCATGCCACGTTTTAGAGTGAATGTTAAGAACAACAATATTAATACAATTATACAAAGTACAAACAAATAAAGTATAACAACTCAATTAGTATATATATATTCTGGTTTTTATTTATAATTGAACACTGAATCTTTGTACGTAAGAGAAAACGTAGTCTTTTTAAATGACTTTTGGTCTTGTGAATATCTTAAGGTCTCCGGCTCTGTGAAGTGTGAAGCATTGAAAATCATTGGCCTGAGTATCCAGTTATCCCCCCTCCCCCTCCCCCGAACCTAAAGTGTACCCGAGATTCGATTCCACAATGGTTGTTTTAGTACAATGCATATCAAGGTTCTTTTTATTTATTTAATATTTACAAGCTTCAGAGAAATTGGTAATGGGAGTTGCAATAAAACTAATTAAAAAGAGAAATGTAAATAGCTAGATACTTTTGTTGGCAGAAATAAAAAAGAAACAGCTTGAGATCAAAGCTGATTCGATGAATCGATACTTTGGAGATATGTATGAGCATCTTCAACAAAAGGTTTGAGTGCAATACTGCACACGCAAATGTATTATTAACAACCACTCTCAGACAAGATTGTAGATTCAAAAATGTAACATTTCATAAACAAAAATAAATTGAAGTGACCTAAAACCTTGTATATATATAATAAGGTTTGTGTGGTTATGTTCAAGATCAATTTTCTCTCAAAAATTGTGGTATCACTCATCAGTAATGGATTTTAAGATAATTGTTGTTGCATATTATCAATTCTTTATATAAAGAAAAAACGGCACCGTTTACTGATGGGCTTTATAAAAGCCCATATTTACCCAAATCGCGAAGTCAGAAAGGCCTAAATCCAAGAAAAGTCGAAATTGCCCAAGGCGCAACTTTTTTGATCTCTCCGTCTTCCTCCTCCTGCCGGCTTCCGCGATTTTGTTTGCTTAGCGCCGGAGCGGAGTAGATAAACCCTAGCTCAGCCACCAAGCAGCTGCGTCTTCTCATTCCAATCAGTCTTCTGTTGCTGCGTCTTCGTATTCCTCGTCTTCGTTCATACTAAGATGAACTGTGCAAGTAAGACTTCTCTATTTGCCAATCTAGGGTTTCACTCTGGCTAATGTCTCACTCTTGTTTATTTCTCATATAGTTTCCGGCGAAGTTCCAGTAGTGCCTGTGGTTTCGAAGAAGACTGGTTTGCTCTACGAGAAGCGGCTAATCGAGAGTCATATATCAGTAAGCTCTTAGCTTTTCGCCGTGATTAGATTCATATCTAGTAAGATCCTTATCAGCTTGATATAGTGCATAGTAGTCAGACTTGTATGGTAATAATTTGTGAAGTGCTTTCTGTATAGGATTATGGGAAATGTCCAGTTACTGGTGAACCACATACCATTGATGACATTGTTGCTATCAAAACTGGAAAGGTAATGCAACTAATGGAACTATTTTCGTATGTTTGCAGAAACTTATTATAGTCTGATTCGCTCTCTGGGACTGTTTTGCAGATTGTAAAACCAAAACCATTACACACAGCTAGCATCCCTGGATTGCTCGGATCGTTCCAGACTGTAAGCTTGCTATTTTCTTTTCTTCTTATTGAATCTGAAAATTTTACTGTGTCTGTCCATTAAGGATCATGTAGAGTTAGTTATGTGGATCTAAGAAGTAAGAACTTGATAGAGTATAAAGGGCTAGGTTCACTTGTCTGTTTAAGTTATTTAACATAGCATATTTTTTGACTCTACTCTTCTGTACAGCTGCTACTTGAATCATTTGTTCAGTTTTTTACTGCTATCAACACAGTATTTGTTTACTGTTATGATGGATTCTGCCAAATAAGTGCGTAAGTTCATATATATTTTGTGCTTTCAGGAATGGGATAGTTTGATCCTATCAAATTTTTCACTTGAACAACAACTGCACACTGCGAGGCAAGAGCTAAGTCATGCTTTGTATCAGGTAATTTGCCACCACCTGATATATCATCTATGAATATTGCTTATGTACTTCAGTTTTATTTTCTTGACGTTTCCATTAATTATTAGTGATAAAGGTGATTGATGGATTTTTGGGATACACTTTACCTTCTCTTTGCAGCAAGATGCTGCTTGTCGTGTGATTGCTAGACTTAAAAAAGAAAGAGACGAGGCACGACAATTGCTTTCAGAGGCCGAAAGGCAGTTACCGGCAGCCCCCGAAGTTACCACTGCGAATGCTACTCTTAGTAATGGTAATCAAGGTATGCGTCTACATTATGCCTGGACATTTTCTTATCAAAATAAGTTGGCTGTGTAGTCAATTTTCTTGTAACAAAATTGCTATGTTTTAAATAGCTGCTGATGGTGGTGAACAAGGTCCTGATGCGAAGAAAATCTGCTTTGGAATTTCGGCTGAAGTTATTACAGAACTGACAGATTGTAATGCTGCTCTTTCCCAGCAACGTAAAAAGAGACAGGTAATACATCTACCTTCAGATCCATTGGTATCTTGGTTGGAAAGTCGAGTTCATGAGAGAATTACATGCTAACTCTGTATTTTATTGTTCATAACGTTCAAAGGATCTAGACTTGTATTTTGTGTTTTGAAAGATTTTGCGCGTGACCTGTTGTCTTTATACTTTTTCCTCGCTAGATCCCTCCAACATTGGCTTCAATTGATGATCTGGAGAAGTTCACCCAACTCTCAAGCCATCCACTTCACAAGACCAGCAAACCTGGTATTTTTTCAATGGACATCCTACATTCTAAGGTTTGATAACTGGATCCTCGCCGCTTATCACTTGATGTTGTTATCCGTTCTTGAAAGTCACTAAGTCACTGCATTGAATTGATTATCAGGAT